AAATAGGAAATTTTGGTTCAGCAATCTCAAAGAAGATTAACGGTACAGTTTTCATTTAAAGAGATTTGTAAAGAATCTGTTTGTTTGTTTTTTAATTTTTTAATTTTTTTTTTTTTTTTTTAGTGATAGAGGCTGATAATGACTAATTTAAATCCCCTAAGGCAAAAGGCAAAGGATTATCCACACGTTTAAGTTTAAGAAATTTAGCATCCAGTTTAAAACATCAAATGAGAAAGACATAACTCAGACGAGTAAGCCATGTGCTTGGTGTCTCAAGCTTTTTAAAAGTAGATTTTTTAAATATAACGGTAACACTGTGTAACTTGCTTTTGTCCTTGGATAGTAACTGTTATTTCCTATTTGCTTACGCCTAGAAAGTATGAAATATTACTAAAATTTCCTTCAAACTTTGCTTTTGTGACCAGGGTAATGATATTTTTGAAATTTACCTATTGCCATTGGGAAAACTGGCGAACATTCTCGTTCATTCATAAAAACAAAACGGCATATGATTCAAAAGCAGTATTTATTTATTCTAAGAGAGAGAACAAAAAATTTAGAACTGAGTAGTTTTTTGAGATTTACGCTTATATGGTAAATTACTTTAACGAATTAGTCCCCAACTAGTTCCCCCATCATGTTTTCGTTATACGATCCTTGGTAGCCAGAACATTCTTGAAACTTTTAGAAAATTCTCGAAAGTTTTAGAAAATTCTTCTTTATTAACTCAGTGCTGAATCTGTCTGGAATGTAATGATAAATAGGTCAGTTTCAAAACTTCGATGTCTAGATCAGAAAAGCAAACTTTGAAGAGAATAACAGACATTTCCTTTATTTTCTAGACAGCAAAAATTAGGAAATAGCACGGACTTACCAAAGACAAAAAAGTCAATATTTTGTTACGCAGTATTATAGAATAAATTACACTTCTGTTAACTTGGTGCGTACCTGGCTACCTTTCAAAGTGCATTAGTGCACCCGGGTGCACAAGTTGCAAAAGTTTGGTTTAAATTGACGCCTTCTTTTTTCATGCATCTAAACTTTTTTCATGCATCTTATGAACAATAATTTGGTGAAGTGAAAATTTCACTGATTAAAGTTGGAAAATTAATTAAAGAAAAGGAATCTGTGGAAATTGATGGTCGTCTATGTCCAGGAGGGACATTGCCTTTTAGAGGTGTCTTTAAAAGAACTGATTAAGGGTAAGATAGTTTAAATTTTCAATATTTCACTTGCTGATTTTATTTATATAAGCAGATAACATCAACCAAGAATAGAAATTTAACACGTAAAAGAAACTGCTAAAACACATTTTACACAATCATAAAATTAGGCATTTGAAATAAAAAGTCTTCGATATTAAAATCGGCTACCAAGCAATAATAAACATTATGCTGACTCTAACTTAAATTCTAAATAAAATGCTTAAATATAAATTAAATTGTACGGCTTTTCGGAGCCAAGTTGGTTAAGGCGTGCCGGTCTTAACGATAGATCCTTCTGCTGGAGAGCGCATTTTTTTTTCTTTAATAGGATCTCTCGAACATTCATCACATCGCTTTCTTCTTTCTATATTTCCTTTGTCCATCATCACGTTTTTTTCTTTCTTTTTCATTTTGCGTCTCTTTTCTTTCTTCTTTTCAATTTCCTTTCATCAATTCACTTCTTTCTTCCTTAGTTTACATTTTTCTTTTGCATTGTTACGAAGGTCGTTCAAAAAGTTTGCCTCACACAAAAAGAAGAGACATAGCTGAAAATTTTTGTTGTAGCAAACACTTCATATAAAATTAGAAAAAAAAAACTAATTCAAATTTATATCATAATTTCTGTGAAGGTGAGGCCCACACAAAGGTGAGAGGTGTGCGAAAAATCTAAAAATGTGCAAAACAGAGGCCTGAGTAGTCATAAAGTATCCGCAAAAGAAAGGTATGACACCTAAGGAAATCCATGGAGACATGTTACAGACACTTGCTGAGGACCCCCCCCCTTCCTGTGAAGAAGTGGGCTGCGGAATTCAGTCAGGGCAAGGGCAGCACAGAAGACGACCTTCCGTCAGGTCATCCAAAATCCTGAGTCAATGATGAACAAGTTGACGCCATTCACCGTATGCTTTTGTATGACAAACGTCTTACTGTCCATGAGATAGCTAAATCCATAAGCATTAGTTCTGATTCGATTCATACAGTTTTAACTGATGTCTTGGAGGATGAGGAAGCTGTCCGCAATATGGGTCCCAAGAATGATGACACCAGCGCAGAAGCTGAAAAGGGTTAACATTTTCCGGACATTTCTGATTTGTTTCCAAGCTGATCCTGAGAATTTTCACCGCAGATTAGTAACTCAAGATAAACCCTGGTTTCAGCACTTCGAACCTGAATCAAAGATTCAAAGTAAACAGTGGGAACTCTTTAATTCTGGTCTTGGGATTCTAAAGGCGTAATCATGATAGACTAGCTGGAAAAGGAGAAAACTATTAATGGACAGTACTATGCATCAGAGT